ATCCCGTTTGCTGGGGATCCCCGGGACAGGGCTTGTCGGCTGCCCCGCTTTTGCCGCTGGCTGCCCCACCCAGCCGGGGCTCTGCAGGGACAGGGCTCACTGGTGCCCCACTGGATGGGGCTCCCAGCTGGTTTGCATTCCTGGGCCACGGATATTGCTGGACCAGTGTCCCAGATTTCAGAGGTTCAACCTGTATCCGGTTTTGTAGGATAGGGAGCTGTGTTCCTTGGGTCTGTCAGTCCAGCACCCTTCACAAGCACTAAAATTGGTTTAAACACGTGGTTTAAACTAACCCTGTAACTGAGTAAACTTCTGTCTGTAAAGAAAACTTCTTGCATGATAAAAGGAAAAACATCAAGCCACCAAAATATCAGTAGGTTGAAGAGGGCTGGATTTTTTTCCACTGAGGTCAATGAGAATGTTGTGAAAATGCAGGCAGAGTTTCTTAGTCAGTCAGAAAAGGACGGTCATGTAAAACTGGCCTTTTACTTTTCTTAACCTTCCTTATAGTCTCCTTTTATGTCCACCTGTAGCTATCTTTCTTCCTGTAAGCAGATAGTTTGGGTTTTGATTTAAACCAGTTTTTGTTAATAAAAACCTTCTGGGGAAACAGCATGATTCCTATAATTTTGCTGTAGACCGGGACAGACCTTGGGGATGTAAAATCCCATTTAGAAAGTTAACCAGTTAAATGTTAAGTTTAACTGGGATCTGGCAGATGGGGCCACGCCACTCAGTGAGCCTGACCAGGCTAGAGCAGCCCCCCGCTCATGTTGGGCAGATGGCTGCTGCAGCCTGGCCAGGCCACCAGTTAACTGCTTACCTGGTAAGTATTGGTTGGTAAGGTTGCCTTGGGGATGTAAAATCCCATTTAGAAAGTTAACCAGTTAAATGTTAAGTTTAACTGGGATCTGGCAGATGGGGCCACGCCACTCAGTGAGCCTGACCAGGCTAGAGCAGCCCCCCGCTCATGTTGGGCAGATGGCTGCTGCAGCCTGGCCAGGCCACCAGTTAACTGCTTACCTGGTAAGTATTGGTTGGTAAGGTTGACCGGTTACCTGGAAAGGGTGATGCTTACTGTGCAGCTGCTTAACCCTTTACATCCCTAAAAGGTGCACATAATTATAAACACAGAAGACGATAGAAAACATCCCATCCCAAGTTTGACAAAGGTTTTGCATTACAGATTCATTCAGAAATTATTGTAAAACTATCCACTTTTTAGAAGTACTCTTTGGTTAACTGTATCCTGTTGTACGCTAGTTTGAAATGTAGTCCATTTGTAGCTTCATGTACTTATGTAGTATATTACATAAAACATACATAAGCATCAATGTTCATCCATATTGAGAACATAAAAATTATCTTCCTTTTTTAGACTTGTTCAATAAATGTAAAGGTGACTTGATGGAAGTCAGAGATGGCATCTTGAAAACTCATCCTAACATTTTAGAAAACTTAGTCTTTTTTATTGAGGTAAGAAAATGACACTCAGTGGCAATACTAGATTTCTCTTACTGCAGTTTTCTGAATTGTATGCTTGAGTGACAGATTCTAAACCTAGTTAACTAATTAAGCAAGCCATAAGGATTAGCTAACCACAGGTTTTTTTCCTAGCAATAATCCAATTTAGCAAACGGCTTGGGAATTTAATTGTTAAACCACACTTACACTAAAAGGCATAGAGAGTTCAAGAATGATGTAATGCAAAATGAATTAAGCTACTAACTACAGGCAGTCCCCGGGTTACGTCCGTATTCACATCACTTTCTCCCAATAAGCAGTTTTCCTTATGATATTTCATTCTTGCAGCTAGGCCCTGCATCATCATCTTGTGCTGCTTACACTTCACGGCTACGTCTACACTGGACCCTTTTCCGAAAGGGGCATACTAATTTCACAGGTCGTAATAGGGAAATCCGCGGGGGATTTAAATATCCCCCGCGGCATTTAAATAAAAATGTCCGCCACTTTTTTCCGGCTTTTAGATTACATTATATTAAACTAAATCATATAAATGATTTGTAGTTGCAGCAGTCTCCTGGCTGATGACCGTTCTTAAACTTTTTTTTTAAATTTTCAAATGTTATTAATTCTGACAAGTTCTCAAAACACTAAATGTAGGGTGATTTTAAAATGTCTAGCTTTCATATTCCCCGTTCCCGCTATCATTTTGATGCAGATCTGATTCCAAGTTACCAGAGAAAGATAAGACAGACTGTGCTTTAGAGTGTGCACTTTACTTTTAGTAAGCCCCATCAGAAACAAGTATAGGATGGGTTTCTTTTGGGAAAGCTGAGTTATGGTGACGTAAAATAGGGAATAGACTTATGATATCATTATGGTCTGTGACCGTGATATTCCAAACTAAGTATGTATTATGTATAGGATCTGTTTACAACCAGAAGCTGTGGCAGTTTTTCTGTGGCAGAAGTGTAGGGGAATATAGGAAGCTGTGTGTGTGCACTGAAAAATGGCTTTACTTTTTCTTTCCAGTCCACTCCACTGTTCCTTTCTGTGCTGCCTCAATCCTTTCCTATTTATTCTCTCTCAGACAATATCTTAACTAACTCCTCTGCTGTGCTTGGCCCAGATCCACCACCATGTAAGCGTGGAACAAAAACAACCCTATCTCGTCTGTGTCTGTCTTTGCGCACGTTATTATGCTCAGAAACAATGAATGAAATTGAAAGCCCAGAACTTTGAAGCAGGAAGAGCTGGTTGTTAGACTGGACAGACTAGAGCCATTCGTTCATGTTATAAGACTGTCAGTGTAGGTGTAGCATGTTTGTGATGAGATTTAATTGTAACTGTTATTTTTAAACAAATTTAGTATTTTGATTAAAAAAAGTCTCCATTTTTTTAAAAAAGCATTGATTTTTATCCACCCTGACATTAAGCCTTTATTAAAGGACGTAGATGTGAACGGCCTCAGCAGTATTAATTGTATTTGTGCCATGCTTGTACATCTGTTTTTCTTCCTTTCAGACAATTTCCATCACTCTATGGGTGTCAAGTTACTGTGATAGTGTCCTACAACCCTTCAAATCAAGCTTACAGAAAAAGAAAAAGAAAAAAAAAGAAAGCAGTGTAGTTATGGTAGGTGACTTGATGGAGACATGAGTTCTAATCTTAAGATACTTCCCCAAAGTGAGTCCAATTTTCAAAAGTGACTAAGTGCTTAACCTCCATTAAGGGGTTCTCCTATGCCACTTTTTGAAGTTAGGAATTCTAAGTTGCTTATGTGCTTCTGAAAATTAATGGAAAAATGCAACATTGTAGAATGTTCCATAACCAACTGTGATGAATGTATGCATTAGCCTGTTGGATACAGTTAGTATGATTTCTGTTCTGTGCATAACCATCTTAAGCCCAAGGTTAGTGTGGTTTCCAAATTGTTCCCACCAAATAAAAAAAAAAAGGAAGATAAAGGCTTCTGAAATGAGGGTACATAACATTTTTCGTCATTTTAGAGTTTATTTTTTTAAAAAACCAACAAATTAACTACTAAATGTAGTATAATTTTGAATAGTTCAAGGTGGGACTTATTTATTAAATGTTTTTGATTGGAAAATGCCAGTTCTAAACTGAAATTTGTCAAGAAAACATCTCTATTTCAATGAAACTTTCATCAAGAAGGTTTCTCATACCCAAACTGAGCAGGGGATTTGAACCTAGCATCTCATATCCCTGGTGCATGCCTTAACCACTGGGCAATAATCAGTCATTCTCTCTGACCTAATCAACGTTTAATGATTTTCTACTAAGTGGAACAACTCTAACAGGAGTGATTTAAGGTTCAAACTGGGCAGAAAAAAGTCTCCCAGATTCATGTCTTAACCACGGGCTTCTAGAGTCAGCTTGATTATGTAGCAGAATAAAAACACATTCCAAGAGCTCAGTTTTTCACAAAATGGAAATGCTTGCCCGCTAGCCAGCCTTACTACTTAAGCTATATTTGAAGGATACACTTGTGGTTTGGGACACAGAGGAATCAATTTTTTTTTTTTAAATAGTGACTAGAGTGTTGTATACAAAGAATTAAAATGGATGTAAAATTTATATTAATGTCACTTCTTACTATTTTCATAGCCACCTGTATTTACCAGTTTTTTGGATTATGTTACTGAGCTACAGACGTTAATTTCCAATGTTATAGATCATATCAAAGGGCTTGAAATAATTCTGACTGCATTTAAACTTGATGAATTGTCCATAGATGACACTTTACTTTCACAGGTAAGAAACTCTACGTTATTTTATGTGATTTCTTTTGGAAAAAAAAGTAGAGAATATCTCTTTGCTAGCTTCACCTTTTTCTTTAAATGTTACCTATTGGAAAAGCTTTAATAACCACTGATATGATTGACTTAGTTGTCTATTTAGCTAAAAAGAATAGTGTGTCGATTGGTTGAAACTGACCTAAAGTGGTAGAGTTCTTGTTGTAAAGCTCCTACCATGTGGAGTCCACCATAGTAACTTTCCCTAAACTGTTTATATCTTGTTTACTTCCACAAAATGATTAATTTAAAAAATGTGACTGGAACCTGAGAATTGTAAACCTATGTATCTTTAAGTGAGTTGAGTATGTGGAGAACAAATGCTGTGTGACATTTTGTTGCCAGGAAAATGAATGTTGTTTACAGCATAGAAAGACATGACATCAAATAAGAGAGAGAGCACAATTGTGACAGGAAATCTGTGTGGTTAAAGTATTTGACTAATATAGAATCATAGAGCACTATAACTGGAAGGGTCCTCGAGAGGTCATCAAGTCCAGTCCCCTACCCTCGTGGCAGGACCAAGCACCATCTAGACCAGGGCTAATAAACACATGGGTCGCATGCGGCCTGCAGCATGTTGGTTTGTGGAGCGGTTTGGGTTTACGCGGGGCTCAACATGCGGACCGAGGGTGGGATCCTTTGAACGTGGGCTCCACTGGGAACATGCTCCACAATGGCGAGGCATCTCCCAGGCAGGGTGAGCACTGAAAGATGCAAGCAGACAGGTTGGCTGGAACAGACTGGTACAGGGTGTCTGCGTTTCTAGCCCCCTGGGAGGAGGTGCCGGGAGCGCCGGGGCATCATGGGAAGTGCTGGCTGCTCAGCCTTATGGGCAGAGCCTGAGAGGTGCCGACAGGCTCTCACTGGCCACATTTGGGTCCGGTGCCATGGCTGGGCAGCCCTTCCTCCGTCCCACATGGAGCAACGGACACCTGCGTGGGCACGTCAGCCCTGCTGGGAATCCAGGACAGGGCTCCCGGTCACCTGTGCCCTTCCTGCTGCAGGTTGGAGCTCTCTGGCTTGGAAACTTTTCTTGGAGTGATCTTACTGTAAAAAGAAAAAAGTACAACCTGAAGTGTCAAGCTAAACACCCAAAACACTGGTATTCAATTTTCTTTTTAATAAGAAGCATTAAAAATGGAAAGAAAGAAAGAAGAGATGCTTGTTGGATGAACACAGAGTTTTCAACCCTGTTTGGGAGATGGAATTTGCTTTTGCAGAGATAAATGGAAAACCAATGTGTCGTCTTTGTCAAAGACTATTGCTGTGTTAAAGAAGAAAAACTTGCAACGGCACCATCAGTCTTGTCACCCTGAGTTCAAAGACTTGTATCCACCTGACAGCAATTGATTTGAAAAAGCTTACTTCAGTAACAACTGATGGCGCTCCCTCCATGGTTGGGAAAAGAGAAGGGGCTAATTTCTTTGCTGAAGAAAAATCCAGATTTCTTTTCATACCATTACATTCTGCACCAAAAACCGTTATGCAGCAAACTGAAGGGAGGACTTCTCAAGAGCACAATGGATAGTGTCACAAAAATCATCAACTTCATTGTTGCAAATGCCTTGAAGCAGACAATTTTGAGCTTTAGCTGAGGAGTACCAAACACAGTATGGTGCCCTGGAAATGCTTGCAGAAGTTAGATGGCTGAGTCAAGGCAAAGTGTTAGATCTGTTTATGGATCTACTGCTTGCGCCAGGATTTACTGTCATGTTTAGACAAAGAGAAAGTCCTGCTAAACGTGGCTTGTCGCACTGATATGACACACCACTTAAATGCACGCAATCTTAAACTTCGAGGCAAAGAAAAAACCTGCCTTCTCTGATGTGCGATGTTTCAAATGCAGAGACAACTGGCCCTTTTTGCAGATGAGCTTCGTGAGAGACTTAATTCACTTTCCCGTCCTCAACTCACAAGTGACACAGCTGAGTGAACATGCATCTTTTTTGCCTGGAAATTTATTTATTTATTTATTTGTAAACGGAGTACATCTCAGAGCGGAAAACTGAATTTTCTTTTTTTCTAGATGTCAAATCCTGGAAGACAGTTGTTGAATTTACTGAACCTCCATTTTCAGTTGAGGTAAAGGCAGTCTCATCTTCAGCAGTGCAATTTGGTGTTGAGAGGGCCACATTTTATGAAGAGATGATAGAACTGCAAAACAATAATATTCTAAAAGCTAGGCATAAGGAAGAGGACACAAACATTTTGGATGACCTATGGAAGACATGTACCCTGAATTACTGAAATGTGTGAAGAAAGTGCTAACTTACTTTGGGTCTACATATGTCTGTGAAAGTTCATTCTCCTCCATGGGAATCAAGTCAAAACTGCGCACCTCTCTTATTGACAGACATCTGACCAACTGTCTGTGCTGCTACAACAGAATACAAGCCTGATGTGAAACAGCTGGTGAAAAGTTTGCAGATACAATCTTCACATTGATTGTACTTATACTCTAGTACTGCATTGGCAGTTTTTGTTTGATTTTGTTAAAAATGTGAAGCCAAAACACAAAAAGTAGTCAATATAATGGTCTTCTGTTGATATGCATTTTAGTAGTAATTCCTGGACTGTCACTGCTCATTAAAAGTGCTGTCACATGGGTGGAAATCAGGTAACTATTGCATTTTATTAATATCAGCAGAACTGATTCACATGGGGCCTGCATGTTGTGTAGTCTTGCCTTAATCTTTGTATTCATGTCCATCAGACCCTATTTGCACATATATGCAACCATGCTTAAGTTGCGGCCCTTGGCATGTGCTGAGAGTATCATTGTGGCCCCTGGGGCTTCCAAATTTGAGTAGCCTTGATCTAGACCATCCCTGCCAGATGTCTGTCTAACCTGCTCTTAAATATCTCCAATGACATATTCCACCCCGCCCCCCCCCCCCCACATGTGTTAAGATGTATATGAAAATGTTTCCTGATGAAGAAATATCCTTTTTGAAGCAGTGAATGCTGCTTTGACTAAATGAGGGAGAAGATGCCCTGAAGAACCAAGATGATATAACACCAGGAAATAAGTACATTGTCGTTCCTCTAACAGGACACCCTCAGTGACTACTTGTTGAGTCTGTTTTTCAATTAAATGATAGCCTGCCCCTCTTCAGAGCCTCAAAATATCATTGACACTAGGTGGTGGAAGGTTGAGTTCAGATGTACGCATAAAGCACAAAACTAGCCATTTCCTTTGTCTTTAAATGTGTTCAGAGAGTCTTTTCTAAAGTACAAGACTCAAAAGTAGATTGGTGTTCTTCTTCGGGGATGTCCCTGCGGGT